GCTGGGAGAAGGCTGAAGGTGGTGGGCTCTCAGCAGCCACATGCATGCGCTTTCGCACAATCTTGTGCATGGTCCAACCCCCCCTCCCCCCTCCTCCTCCTCCCAACCCTCTGTTCTAATCCCAAAACTTGGTCGATGCGGAACCCAACTTTATGCACCTTTTAGAGCGCGATTTGATTGCTCCTCCTCCTCTTCTTGCGACGTACAGTGATTAAGGGTGGAATTGTCTCCCCTCACGAGATCGGTCCTTCAAATTAGGGATATTATCCCAGTCATGCCAGTAACTAGGATTCGAGGCTTCGTCTGGAAAGGTTGGAATACGACCCTCATATTTAGTCGTTGACTTTCGGATAGAGTTCCTATTTGACGATTTGTGTACTACTGAGTCACTGTTTGATTTTCATCCTACTTGTACGACTATTTTCTTAGGACATCGTAACTTTAGGCTTCGTAGTGACTTGCGGCTTACGTCCCCAGGGCTCCGTATCGGGATTTCAGGTGAGATTGAAGAAGGTAATGGCGAGAGTCACGAAACTCTGTCTTCATAGTAAAGCAAATTGCTCCTATTTTCCAGCCCACACAGCCCTCATAGCTGTGAGTCTTCCAAACTGATTTTTGGAAATAGTTATTTACCAAGGCCTCCTCGCCAAAAAGTTGAAGCTATCTCACAAGGGAAAGTTAAACGCACCTTGCACCTAGCTTGCTTCGAGCGATAGATTTAATGGGAATCCGTGTATATATTGTTGCGACTTATTGCTGACAAAGAAAATGGAGGCTCGAATAACCACTCCTGGCTTATTTCTCGTCGAGATCAAGCCACACCTCATCCCCCAGACTGGAACGACGCGGGATCTAGATCTAGTTCTACCGGTCGAGCCACGGACCGACGCGCTGTGGGTTGTTTCGGGAGAGTAGTCACTCGCGTGGGCGTGTCGTTAACCGCTGCGATGCGATTGCAGGATAGAATGCGGACAGCACGTCCTGTCTCAGAGCTCCGGTCCAGACCCTTCGCAAGTACCAGAAGACCAACCAATAACTTAGAAGCAGTTCCAGCGTTATACCGGGGTCCAGAATGGTCCCTTCTGGTTCCTCTGACCGACTGTGCCTCAAACCCAGACCCGCAATCTGAACCAGGGTTCAGTTGCGAGCAGTGACTCCTCAAATAGATGCATTGTATGTCAGGTCTCGTAAGTCCTCCGCATCCATCCACCGGGGCATTTTTTCACAATTCGACAGAGCAGCTCGAATCTTTAGACCAACGACATTTTAGTGAGGTATCATTGTGGGGAAACGAAGAGAATCGTCCTTTTCCGGACTGAATTTCTCACCTAAGAAAGGTGTGATTTCAGTGTTTTCAACTGATGAAGCTTTTTAGGGTTATTGTTTTGCTTTGGACGCTTTCGCGCTTTCTGTTGCAGGCAACTGCTAAGTAGGAATAATTGAAGCAGATCATTCGACCGCTGGCCTCACCTTTCCTCATCTGTTTACAATTTTGTTAAATAAATTCATTAGAGCTGTTGCCTGCGTCAGTAACCACTCCCATTCTTCTGGTCCTTTTATTCTAAAAAAAATTGTGAAAATTTGGCGGGAACAACGGTTTTTAAGTCGTCCTGCTATCGAATCCTCATTCCCTAGGAGCAACTGGAACGGCGATGCCCTCATTTTAGCCAACAGCTGAGGCAGTAGACGTAGACCATTTGTCGGAGAATTACCACCATCGGCCGCAGTGTGCAGCATCGTCACCCCCTCCCCCCCCATGTCTGTCCTTCGGCCGACTCGAGGTAGCCTCGGGTGGCGAATGAATCACTCGTTTAGTATGATTCGCAAGTGGTTTGGAGGACAGTAGAATGAATAATCACAGGGGTAAGACGTAGTTGCTTATGTCTACCCGGCTCGCCCAGCCTCGTCATTCTGATGCTTGCGGCCGACCGGGTGACCGCCGATGCGGACGAGTTAGGTCTTTCTCTGGCTGCAGTTAGCCATCCGATCGCCACCACCACCATTCTGGGGAGGTTGTAGGATCTTTCGCGCGGATTGGGTTATAGTGACGGGGATTTGCATAGCATCGTCATTACCCTTTTCCCATAGTCATCGAGTTTTTTGCAGCAAATCTGAGTCATGACTACCAGATGCGGGCCAGGGAGCAGTCACGTCTACGTGTGCCCTGTCACTGCTGGCTCCTCCCTTCCAACAGGCCAGAATGAATGCATACGTCTAAATCGTGTGGAAGACATCTCAGCCATCCTCATCTGGTTTCGGTCATTGGCATGGTTTGGCCACTGCTCCCAGCACACGTGCTTAGGGCCGCCGCTTAGAGTTGCGTGTCAAACAGCTTAAGAATGAAGTGATTTCCCCATGCAGCTGAGCATTTCTTATGATTGTCTGTGCATCCAGGTGACTACGTCCTCCCCCCTCCGGCATCCGTATGCCCTTTTCCGACCTGCCTGCATATCTCAATGCTTCCTCGATTATGAATTGGAAACCTGTCTATAACCAGTTTCATGCATCAGCCCAATCAGTAGTATATGTTCATCTCCTACATGACCTTCGACCATGAAGTGACGAAAGGTTAGGCCAGCTGCCATGCCAGTCCACTGAACCAGTCAATCGAAACGCATTCTAACATTCAACATTTCTAGGACGGACCGCAAAATGTGCAGCTCCTGTGGACTTTTTACCGCCTTTTACAAATAATGAAAAGTATAATGCGGAGTTATATGAGGCCGACGGTTTTGATGTTCCGGTGTCTCAGCCTGGACTGACGCATGAAAATCAATTTTAGTCAACCAATAAAAATTTACTTTATAGAATTGCTTTACGTAGCATAGCAGTTAGCATTGGCCTCTACTGCGATCCGACTGCCAGTTAAATCCTGCATCTGAGATTAGCCTCGAGTGACTTAAATAAGCCCTTCGAAGGAGAGGGCTTTTTGTCCTAATAATCCCAGCATATTCCTATTTTCTACTCCTTCCCCGTAGGGAGTCTTGCTCGCATTCCTTTACATTAGTCTGGATCATTATATCAACGAACAACTGCGCTCTCATATAGTCAGTCCCCTTAAGGCCCTCGGCGATAAGTAACTTTCTGCTCACACGACAGCGAGTCTGTTCCCTCGGTGAATTGTTGTAGCTTAGCGGTGATTAAAAACCGCGAATTTTTGCTCGTCTCCATGTCCACAGTGCAACATTCCCGAAGCATACACGACCGGTTGTACGAATGCCCAGTAAACACAGGTTTCTGTGATGATTGCGGTATCGAGACGGGTCCATCGATTCTTCGCGAATGTTTACGATAACGCACCTACTATGATCGACTGTGGTGACGATGTCGTACAACTTCACGGGGCTGGCGAAGGAATAAAATTTCCTACTTCCCCACTCATTAGTCGGTTTTGAAAGTCGCCATGGCGCTCTCACACCAGCCTTTGTTTTGTAAACAACATAGTCTTTATTTACGGCGCGAGCAGAATCGTTCGGCACAGAGATCGACCACTGACTTGGCGAATAAGTTGCTTGGGTTTTCGAGTGCCAAGAACACTTGAGACCTGCCCTACGAGAGTTGCTGCTTCGGTCCGGTACTTTTATGGTCTTCCCTACCTAACATTTGTGTCGTTTTACGAAGCCGGAGAAAGTCAGACATTTTTGTTGGTCAGATCTGATTGCAGGACTGAGGAATATGGACATTTCGTTTTGCCTTAATGCTGGTAAGATTGGGAAAAAATTACACGTTGACACGTTAAAAAGTTGTATTCACCTCTAAAGATATGAATACGCAGGCAGTAGCAGTTTTACCGTTTATTTGGCGACTGGCGGCTGCAGAAACGCGGGACAAAACGGAAACGCCCATTTCTATCCCGTACGCAGGGTCGATCGATTAACTCAGCTTCCACGTCGCCATTTACTTCCACGCCTCGCTCAACAGCCGCAAAGGTGCCTGTCTCAGCAGCGATGGTCAACGGCTCCGGCA